CGAACTTGGTTATTATTTTTTTTTGCAGATGTTTGATTACCCAAAGTAGGTAAACATTATCAGAGCAAACTGGATGTTCTCTAATTCGGATAATGAAAATTTGCAAGAAAACCACCAAGCTGGGAGAACACCAATGACCTTTCAAAACAATATTGTCTTCATTTCAATCCCAAGTGGCAAATATTCTGCTTTATTAGTGCAATATTGTTTTAGGTGGGATTCCCAAGTCCTCTCTTTTCGATTTTGAGATTTGAAGTAACTTTTATTTCTTAAAAGACTTGCCAACAACTGCTTAGATTTCAACTTTCAAAATATTATGGGATGCTGATTAATAAATAGAACAGCTTGCCCTCTGGAGGTTTTCCAAGAAGACACTGGACAACTATTTGTCTGGGATGATATAAAGTCTTCTAACTTGGGCAGGGGGGTGGACTAGAAGACCTCCAAGATCCCTTTCAGCAGCCCTATGATTCTACGCTGGCTGAGTAATTCTGGGAGCTGGAATCCCCTAGAGCAGTGATGGCTAACCTTTTTATTGTTGGGTGCTAAAAATGCGAGGGCACATGCATAAAAGCACGCACATGCATGCCAGCACCCATAATACAAAGTCTGCCCCCACAAACAAATTTCTGTTTGATCCATTGGGCCCATTTTTTGCTCTCCTCAGGCTCTGGAGGCTTTCCTGAAACACGGGGAGGGCAAAAACGGCCTCCCCTGCCAGAGGTGGGTTCCTATCAGTTCAGCCCAGTTCGGCCGAACCAGTAGTAACTTGGTGGCCTCAGTCGCTGGAATCGGCAGTGACCTAGGCCTGCCACACCCCCGAACCAGTTCTCTCAGCGGCGCCATAGATGCCGCCATCTTGTTTTTGCCTTCTGCGCATGCGCAGAGCAATTTTCGTTGCACTGTGCACGAGGGCAGGCGTTGTGTCCCTAAGCGAATCGGCAGTAGCAGCAGCCGGAACCCCACCCCTGCCCATGGCCCTCTGGAAGGCTGAAAATCAGCTGGCCGGCATGCACATGGGTGCTGGGGTTGACAGCTCCCATGCCAGCAGATATGGCTCCATGTGCCACAGCTTCACCATCATGGCCCTAGAGTGATCAAATGTTCCAGATGTGCATTTAAGACTGTTCATGGGCAACGAGAGATGTCTAGAAGTGTAATATCTGCTCCAATTATGTCTCAAGGGTTTAGAGTCCACCATGGCCATCAGATACCTGATGATGGATCATTGTTCTCACTTCTGAGGGCAATCAGGGAGGTAAGAGATAATGGAGGGAACAGTGGCAAAGGTCCTTGCGAGTGGGTAAACAGACCTTGCCATTTCAAAGCTTCAGGAGAAAGGTTGCCATGGTTATGCGGAGATAAGTAAGGAAAAACCAGATGAAGAAGAAAACCCGAACGGTGGGTATTAGCGGAAACAGATTTGTGAGGGGAACTTAAGCTACATCGGATTTCTTTCTTTATTTTCTTTAACTGGCCCATTGTTCTTGTAGATAGCAAGTGGTGTAACTTGTATACACAACAGAAAATGCCACTAGGCTTGAACCGGGATCTCAGGGCTGCCACCAACTCTGTGTTGAAAAAGGAGTTGTGTTGCTTTAGGACGTAGAAAACAAGGTTAGGAGGAGCCTTCTGGTCCAATCCCTTGCTCAAGCAGGAGACCTTATTCCAAATGGCTGCCCAGCCTTTTCTTGAAAACCTCCAGGATGGAGCATCCACAACTTCTGGAGGTAAGCCATTCCACTGAATTATTTGTTTTTACCCTCTGGAAATTTCTCTTTCTCTGACCAGCTTCCACCTGTTGCTTCTTGTCCTGCCCTCAGATGCTGTGGAGAATAGGTTGGGCCACTCTTCTCTGGGACTATCCCTCAGGCACTGGAAGACAGCTTTCATCTCCTTCCTAACTCTTCTCTTCATTAGGCCAGACATACCTAGTTCTCTCATTCATTGTATTCATTCATTCATTCATTCATTCATCTTCTTCTTCATCTTCTTCTTCTTCTCCTCCTCCTCCTCCTTCTCCTTCTCCTTCTCCTCCTCATCCTTCTCTTCCTTCTCCTCCTTCTTCTCCTTCTCCTCCTTCTTCTCCTTCTCCTTCTCCCTCTTCTCCTTCTCCCTCTTCTCCTTCTCCCACTTCTCCTCCTCCTCCTTCTCCTCCTCTCCTCCTCTTCCTCCACCTCCTTCTCCTCCTCCTCTCCTTTTCCTTTCCTCCTTCTCCTTCTCCCTCTTCTCCTTCTCCCTCTTCTCCTCCTCCTCCTCCTCTTCCTTCTCCTCCTTCTTCTCCTTCTCCTCCTTCTCCTTCTCTCTTCCTCCTTCTCCTCCTCTCTTCCTCCTCCTCCCTCTTCTTTTCTTCTTCTTCTCCTCCTCCTCCTTCTCCTCCTCTCCTCTCCTCCTCCTTCTCCTTCTCTTCCTTCTCCTCCTTCTTCTCCTCCCTCTTCTCCTTCTTCCTCTTCTTCTCCTCTTCCTCCTTCTCCTCCTCCTCTCCTCCTCTCCTCCTTTTCCTCCACCTCCTTCTCCTCCTCTCCTCCTCTTCCTCCACCTCCTTCTCCTCCTCCTCTCCTTCTTTTCCTTTCCTCCTTCTCCTTCTCCCTCTTCTCCTTCTCCCTCTTCTCCTCCTCCTCCTCCTCTTCCTTCTCCTCCTTCTTCTCCTTCTCCTCCTTCTCCTTCTCTCTTCCTCCTTCTCCTCCTCTCTTCCTCCTCCTCCCTCTTCTTTTCTTCTTCTTCTCCTCCTCCTCCTTCTCCTCCTCTCCTCCTCTTCCTCCACCTCCTTCTCCTCCTCCTCTCCTTCTTTTCCTTTCCTCCTTCTCCTTCTCCCTCTTCTCCTCCTCCCTCTTCTTCTCCTCCTCCTCTTTCTTCTCCTCCTCCTCTCCTCCTCTCCTCCTTTTCCTCCACCTCCTTCTCCTCCTCTCCTCCTCTTCCTCCACCTCCTTCTCCTCCTCCTCTCCTTCTTCTCCCTTCCTCACT